AGATTATTAACACGAACCAGTCGTCGGTCCCACATCACACCAGTACTTGCTTCACTACATTGGCTTCCAGTAAAATCCCGCATTCACTTCAAAATACTCCTAATTACTTTTAAAGCCCTGCACAACCTCGCCCCCAGTTACATTTCTGATCTCTTAGTCCCGTACTCAACCTCACGACCACTCCGTTCATCAAACCAAAACCTCCTATCCATCCCCCGCTCCAACTTAGCAACTAAAGGTGACCGCGCATTTGCTATTCTGGCCCCAACCCTCTGGAATAGTCTTCCCCAGTCCATCAGATCATCAAATTCCATAGACAGCTTCAAGCAGCTCTTAAAAACTCACCTATATAAACAAGCATTTCATTAAATCAGGACAGTGTAGGGTGTGTGCGTGTGTATGTATATACTTGTGTATGGATGTTTATGTCTTTATTGTGTCTGTACCGGTGTATTAAGTGTTGGTTATGGGTCTGTCTCAGGGATTGTTTGGGTCTTGTGGCCATGGTGTGTGTCAGAAAGTTTGTATTCTGCTTGCTGAAACTGTTTTCGTATTCTTGTTTTTCCTATTTGTTCTATTTATTTCTTTCTATGTAAAGCACTTTGTAACATGTTGTTTTAAAAAGCGCTATACAAATAAAGTGTTACTTACTTACTTACTACTCTAAGGTGGCTCACCCTCTGAACCAACTATTGTCAGGTTACCCGCCCACTGCGAAGAAATCTAAAGGGAAGCCAAGAAACCTTTATCTAAACCCCTCAGAGCCTTTTGGTTGCCTTGTGGGATGAAAACTGTGAAACGGCTTTTGAGGAACTAAAGCGGAGGCTCACACAAGCTCCTGTGCTAGCTTTTGCAAACCCTCAGCAACCTTACGTGCTACACGTGGACGCTAGCCGCGAAGGGTTAGGAGGAGTGTTATATCAAGAGCATAGCGAAGGTTTAAGGCCCGTGGCTTTCATCAGCCGTAGTTTGAGTCTTTCGGAGAAACATTACCCAGCCCATAAATTGGAATTTTTGGCGCTGAAGTGGGCGGTAGTGGACAAGCTGCACGACTATCTGTATGGGACTAAGTTTGAGGTGAGGACCGACAACAACCCACTGACCTATGTTTTAACATCGGCCAAGTTGGATGCGACAGGTCACCGTTGGCTTGCTGCCTTATCTACCTATGACTTCAGCCTCAAGTACAGATCCGGTGTTCAGAACATCGACGCAGATGCCCTTTCTCGTCGCCCACACCCCGAAGCCATCAAAAAGTTGGAGTGGGAAGACATTCCTACAGCAGCGGTGAGAGCTATGTGCCAGCTGTCAGTTGTGACAAAGCAGAGAAACCCACCTTTGAGCAGAGCAATCGATCATTTGGGGATTTCCCCACAGGCTATCCCGCAAGCCTATTGCAATCTGTCTGCTTTGAGTGTTAAGAATATGCCAGTTCTGAGTCTTTCGGAATTGTCAAGTGCTCAGCAGGAAGACCCTGGCATCAGGAAAGTGTGGTCAGCTTTGAACAATGGCAATGTCACACAAGCTGCCAAGAAAGAAAATCGAGCCTGTTCTTTACTTCTGAGAGAGTGGGACAAGTTGAAGATGCAGAAAGGAGTAATGTATCGAGTGATACGTCCCCCTGGAAAGTCTCCCTGTTCCCAGCTTGTTCTGCCAGAGAAGTACCGAAACGCAGTCATGAAGTCGTTGCGTGATGACTTGGGGCATCTGGGTTCTGAAAAAACGTATGGCCTCATCAAAGATCGTTTCTACTGGCCTCGGATGAAGTCAGAGATCGAAGAATACTGTAAGGGTTGTGCACGGTGTATTAAAAGAAAGACGCTGCCTAAGAAAGTTGCACCGCTGTCTCATTTGCAAAGTGATGGCCCATTAGACCTTGTGTGCATGGACTTTTTGTCCATTGAGCCAGATTCCAGTAATACAGAAGATGTCCTTGTCATCACTGATCACTACACCCGCTATGCCCAAGCATTTCCAACGAAGGACCAGAAAGCTTCTACAGTGGCAAAAGTGCTTCTGGAAAAGTATTTTGTCCATTATGGTTTGCCCAAGCGGATGCACAGTGATCAGGGTAGGGATTTTGAGTCCCGCCTCATTCATGAGGTATTGAGTTCACTTGGAGTTGAGAAATCAAGGACAACGCCCTATCATCCTCAAGGAGACCCTCAACCTGAGAGGTTTAACAGGACACTGTTGGACATGTTAGGGACGTTAGAGCCGAGCAGGAAAAGAAAATGGAGCCAACACATTGGACACTTGGTTCATTCCTATAATTGTACTCCAAATGAAGCTACAGGGTTTTCACCCTACTTTCTTATGTTTGGGCGCGAGGCCAGATTACCTGTAGATCTATGTTTTGACACTTCTGTTGATGGCTCGCAGCAGAAAACTTACCTCAAGTATGTGTCTGACATGAGGAAGGAGTTGAAGGCGGCTTATGAGCTAGCAGAATCCCTTGCTGCCAAGCAAAATGACAACAATAAGCAGCGCCACGACAAAAGAATCAGATTTTCACAGTTGTTGCCGGGAGACAGAGTTTTGTTGCGGAATCTTGGACTTCATGGGAAGCACAAACTGGCCGATCGCTGGGCCTCGAACCCTTATGTCGTGGAAAGTCAGATGCCGAACCTACCAGTATTCCGACTGAAGCCTGAAGATGGTGACGGACCCGTTAAAATCCTCCATCGAAATCACCTCCTGCCCCTAGGGAAGAGGATCTGTCCGGATCCTGTATCAGATCCAGATCCCGCACCTACCAGGAGAGTTCTTCGACGGAGAAGACAGACAAAACACCACGATGAGTCTGAGGAGGGAAAGACGCCAAAAGAACCAACCGAAAGAGCAGAACATCACCCCAGTGATTTAAGGAAAGGAAATGCACAGACTCTGAAGATGAGGATTATGGTCGGTGGTATGATCCCTCTTTTCAACCTCCCAGAAACGACACGCATGATGACCTGGTAGCACCTTTCAGTTTGGACTTGGATGTTTCTTTGAGCCAACAGGCTGACCAACCAAAAGAAATACAACACCTGCAAGAAACTGAAACAGGCAATGAAGATGGTGTTGATACAACCGAGTTTGAACTACAAGAGACTCAGGATGCAACAGGGGGTGAAGAGAACCTTCAGACTCAAAAAGACACGGACTCTGAAACTCAGCTCAGAAGGAGTGAGAGAATAAGGAAAGCTCCTTCAAAGTTGACTTATGATACTCCAGGGCAACAGAGTGTCATTGCAGCTCCTACTGTAAAGTTTGTGTCTTGTATTTACAAGTGGATAGGTACTCCTGTTATTGCTTGAGTATGGTTCTTTGGGGGTTTTCACTTGTCATGTTGTGTTTGCCAAATCCTAAACCATGAGGACATGTTTTATTTGGTGGGGGGAGAGTGTAATACCCTGATAAATATCAGATGTATTTATTTGTTTTCTCCTAGATATTATTTTTTTGGTTATTTCAGTATATAGTTTAAAATCTATTTCATTGAGTTTAAGAATGTTAAAAGTGTATCTGATTACTTCTGAATTCATGACCTTGGGGTGTGTTTTTTTTGGTTGTGGTACTTCCGGTGTGACGGGGGATGAGTAGAAGAAGAAGCGGGTCTGCATGGCGTAGTGCAGGAATTCTGGGACTGTGTGCCACTGTAGTGTCACGGTTTGAGTGTGCAGTTAACGAACTGTAGACAGGTAACGGACACTGAACTGCGTGAGATCGGGAGTTTGACTCTCCGGCGTTGTGGAGTATTTTTGTTGCCGGAGGTGAAGCAAGTTTGAGTTTTGGCTAGCGGAGCTGAGCTGGAGCTACCGCGCGTCACAAACAGAGAGCGGCTGCCGCGCCATCACGGTCGGAGTGGAGCTGAGGAGCTGTGCTGCTGGTCCGGAGAGGAGCTGCTGGGTCGTCGCGGACGGGGAAGAGCCGGGTCGCCGACGGACGGGAGCTGTTGGGTCGTAGCGGAGGACAGCGTTCTTTTTTTTTCTTCACGGGATTCGTCCATCTTGTTTTCCCTGCGGGGGTACTCACAGAAATCACACAGGAGTTCCAAACTAAGCGCGCCACCGAAAGTAAGAGTGCACTCAGGTTGACATTTTGGGGACAAATATTTTGACCCGGGTCATATTCTTTATTTTCTTTCCATTTGCAAAGAGTGTGTTTGAGTGTTTTGTATGTTTAATACATTTCAGAGAAACCAGAGAACTGGAGTTGTGTCAGTCAATGTGTGGTCTGATTGTGAAGTCGTAATGTTTAATCCAGTAATAGTGTTGTAAAATAAGTGAGAATCATACAATACCTTAGACTGTTTATTTTCGAGATGTATCTTCACCATATGTTAAATTTGAGTTAGAGGTAAGCCTTGTCTTGTTTCCCATTAAGGTAGGTTTCCTATATGAGCCGATGGTGAAAGTGTTACACACACACATCTCATGTCTTTGGTGGCATCGTGGGTACGTGTTATGTTGTACTATCGTTTGTGTCTATTTTTTGGTGATATCTTTGAGAATATATTAAGTTTGGTGACTTTTAATGTCGAAAAAAAGCGATCTCATTTGGTAAACGTTAGCAGTTGCTAATTTGGTTTGTTAGTGGGCAATGATAAATAATATAAGAGAGTACGTGGTTCATTACAGTTATAAGAGTTGTTAAAAATGCTATTTCATACACTGTAAGCTTCAGCTTTAAGTTATAAAGGAAAGTAACTCATTCAAATATTATGGAAGTATAATTTTGAGTTGTATTGAAAGCTAAAGTACACTTGTGTTTATTGTAGCACCTGTATATTGCAACAAATGACTGATTATGCTTTGTGCTGTATAATACAGTTTCACCTTTCCTTGCATCAGTAAACCTGTGGAATAAGAGTCGTGTCTTCACAGTCTTGATGTTTGGAATGAGTTAGCTGACTGCCCAAATGATCGCTGAGGCAGTACATATATTGTTGCACTGTATTGTCTGTATAACCATAAACCAGGCAAATTTATGCTCTATTCCCTAAGGTATTGGCTTTATTTCACCTGAAGTGATAGGAGAATTGCTTAAAATTAATGCTTTAGTCATGTGGCATTATGTCATGTCAAGTGTGATATGAGAAATGCACTCGTATTGCTTACCCCATCCGATGAGTGTTAAGCCCCAGAGGTATTTAGAATCTGATCGGAAGGCCATGAAGATGAGACTGTGGAGGTAAAGACCTTCTACCAAGACCCAGTAGTAGTTGGTGGCCAGAAAATAGATGAAAAGCAGCACCGTCACCTTGCAGCCAATCTGATAATAAAACATTAACACTTTTATATCACATTCCATTTGTACTTCATTTTATGCAGCTTATTAATTCACCTGTATGATCACATGTTCTTGCAGCACTTCCCACACAATTTTTACACTACAGATGCCCCTAAGAGATTAAATGATCTGATTACACTTAGTCGCACTTTGTTGTAGAAATTTGCAAAAGAATGAATATGAGTGCACAGCAGTAAAATTCATGGCAATAAATAAACATTTGTATTTCAATTCAAGTGTGAATGCCTACTTTTGTCACATTTCATTAACTGACCATCACCTGAAACATAAAGACCCAGTAAAGCAACAACTGGATTCTATGAAGTACTTTATTATGCATGCAGCTGATTGTAAAGTGAGTAGAGCAGAGAGTCACCAAAATGATAAAACTGTATGATTTCAAATGAATATTCATGACATGTACAGGTTATGTAAAACCCAGCCCTGTGTCTATTATATTAACACTCTGTAAACCAGTTCACAACAGTGACAATGCAACACCACTGGAGGACAAATGGCAAGAAAAACCTCCTTCATCTGCACTGCATGGTGCTCCGTATAAGTAAAGAAGCTACTTTAAGTATCTGTGTATTAAGGCTAATACTCTGACAATATGAGTCACAAGAAAACCATGAGTACGTAGACACATCATCTATGGGCACCACATGCATATTCAGGTGCACAGCTGTGATCTAGTCATGTTTTTATCCCTCAGTTTGTCTTAGCTAACATATCGTAAGCTGTAATCCATAAAGTAAGCATTTGTCAAGGTATATGCTACTCTAACTAGGCATATCCACATTTAGTATTTGATATACAGTAACCACAGTCAATGTTACAGGCTGTGTGGCTCAACATTTTTCATGAATTACAGAACCAGCTAATGCGCACTCTTCAAGGCAAATGTATCACTCCAAATTGTGTTTTCCCTTATTGTCAGTAGTCCTTGGGTGTTTTACTGTCACTGTGCTGGATGATGAATACGCAGAGTTTGACATTACAAGGTTGTTCTCACATTCATCTGATAAAGGGGGGAAGTTTCTCTGAGTCACACACTGAATTTGCTGTTAAATGAAATAACACAAAGGACTGCATTTTCGTAGAAGTGACACCAAATATATTAATGTCTGCTATTCCAAATAACAAAATTTACCATGAAGATGCATTGTCAAAGCATCCACATTTCTAAGATGACCGTTTTCTTTTCACTCTTCTTATGCCGCACGGTAGATAGTGTGCTACTAGATACTTCATTATGTACTCTGGGCATTTTTACAGCTTCATCTGTCAGTGCTTGATTGTATGGGCTTATTTCATTCATCATTTTGATTAAAGTGGAGAAAATGTTCCTCAGGCCCCAGGTTCGACACGCCCAGGACCCTCTACAATTTCCCTACCAGAAAAATGTTGGGGTGGAGGATGCTGTGCTGTACCTCCTCCATTGAGCCCACTCACACCTGGACAAGGGAAGTGGCACTGTGAGAATTCTTTTTATGGACTTCTCAAGTGCCTATAACACCATCCAGCCTCCGCTACTGCGGGGATAGAAAGGATGGGAGTGGACTCGTGCCTGCTGGATTGGATCTCCAAGTACCTCACTAACACACTACAGTATATCAGACTGACACTGTGGTTAGCAGCACAGGGGCCCCTCAGGGGACAGTACTGGCCCCTCTCCTCTTCACCCTGTACACCTCGGACTTCTGTTACAACTCGGAGCTGTGCCACATACAGAAGTACGCAGATGACACAGCCATCATGGGGTGTATCAAGAATGACAGAGAGAGTGAGTACAGGAGTGTGGTGGACGACTTTGTTGTCTGGTGCTGAGAAAACCACCTGGAGCTCAACACCTCAAAGACAAAGGAACTGGTCAGAGACTTCAGGAAATGTGGACCATGCCCACAACCCGTTCTGATTGAGGCACATGAGGTTGAACTTGTACAAAACCACAAGTACCTTGGGCTGTGGCTGGACAACAAGTTGGACTGGACATGCAACACAGACTACCTGTACAAGAGGGGACAGAGTAGGCTGTACTTCCTGAGGAGGCTCCGGTCGTTCAACATCTGCAGGAAACTCCTGCGGATGTTCTACCAGTCGTCGGTCGCCAGCGTCCTTTTCTACGCCATGGTGTGCTGGGGCAGCAGCACATCAAAAAGGGACGCATCGAGGCTGGACAAATTAATCAGGCGGGCCAGCTCTGCAGTGGGCATGAAACTGGACTCCCTGGTGACAGTGGCAGAGAGGAGGACACTGAACAAACTTCTGGCCATCGTGGACGATGCCAGCCACCCTCTGCACACTGTCATCATCGCCCAGAGGAGCCAGTTCAGCGACAGGCTGCTCCTCCCCAGGTGCAAAACTAACAGGACCAAAAACTCCTTTGTTCCGCGAGCCATCAAACTGTTCAACTCTGAGCTCGGGGGGAGGGGGAGGAGCAGCAAGCAGGGAGAGGAAGAGAGCAAGGGGTGAGGAGTGAGGACATTGGGGTGAGATAGAGCATCATGCTCTATCACCGGACTGTGTGGAATATTTTGGCACTTTGGTACTGTTACTGTTTCCATTATGTACAGAGTTGTACAGAGTACAAGTAGGGCCTCGGGCGAAGGGCCCATACTTTCACCTCGAGACTCCATTTAAACTTTAAAATGTTGATGTGTCCGTCCCCTATTTCAAAGCATTTCTACTTTTTTCATATCTTCAATCGTTCCTTCGTGACAACCTCTCAAGTTTTGAAACTTTTTCACCCCTTTTCAGCCTTTACAATGGGTGTGTATGTGGTCCTTTAGAGTGAATGATGACATCACTAGAGTGAGAGCTCAGAAAAAAATCACACAGTAAATCTTTTTTTAACTTGTCGCTCTGGCCACAATTTTTATGCCACAGACATCATTTTTACATCAAAACGTAGTAAAATTTGTCCTCCCTCTCACAATGTCACTTTGGAAGCCCACAGAATTAAGTTTGGGGGGGCTTTGGAGCCTTGTTCCTCCACAAGTCTCTCTTCCTTCCCCATCTGCCCCCATTCAAAGACGGCTACGGAGTTTTCTCAAGGACCACAAATTTACACATTTCTTCTCAAATGATTGTGCGCTCATTTTTGACTCTCGGGACATGAAAAAATATGTCTCTCTAATGCCCACGGTCATGGCTTTCTGAAAATGTGCTCAGCTTTTCTCTCCGACACACGGTTTTGACAAAAATGGCAGTTGTTTGACGTCTTCTCCTTCTGGTTTCTTCTACTGATTTGACAGTTAAACCAAGTATCTGTCGCAGCTGTGTGCTTTGTTGCGGCTGTGTGCTTCGTTGCCCGGCAACGCTCTGACCCTACTCCCCTCCCCCCCCTCCCCCCTGCTCCCTCCACACAGCAACAGCCCTTCACACAGCTGAGGCTTAGGTTATTCAAAGTTTTTAGTAGGTTTGGGAATTATAAAATAGTCATTTAAATCCCGGCAGACTCCTGTGGCACTCTCAAATTTTCTGCAAGGAAATTTTCTAGTTATTGTTGTTGTTGTTATTATTATTATTATTATCCATCCATCCATTATCTATACACCGCTTGATCCTCACTAGGGTCGCGGGGGGGCTGGAGCCTATCCCAGCCAACTTAGGGCGAAGGCAGGGGACACCCCGGACAGGTCGCCAGTCTATCGCAGGGCCACACTTAGAGACAGACAACCAAGCACACTCACACTCACACCTACAGACAATTTAGAATCACCAATTAACCTCAACATGTTTTTGGACTGTGTGGGAGGAAGCCGGAGAACCCAGAGAGAACCCACGCTGCACG